CATTGGAGTACCCATGGTCATCAATATCAAGCGCATCATACAAAATCCAATGGGCGGTGAAAATTCCAGTGTGTGGAGCGACGACAAAGATGAGGAGACAACTAGTGACGAAAATGTGGGCGCGGAGGAGGACAAGGACGATTACAGGGTGCTTAAACAAGAGGCTTAAACAAGAGGGTGAAGAGACTTGTGATGATTATGCGCTTAAAGAAGAAGGTGACAAGATTACCGATGACATCGAGTATATATATATGGGAAGGAGTCAATGGTCGTCCAGCAGCTAGTGCTATACCATTCCCCGCCATCAGGTACTTGTTGAATCATGTGGAAAGTTCTAACGGTGAGACGACAAGCAGTGCAATAACATACACGCGGTTTGAGCTTCACCCGCAAACTGGATGTATTCAAGGCAGATGTTAGCACAGGCATGTGGGTGCCCATGACGGCTAGTCTAGACGGCCATGCGATTTTCATTAGCAAACTCTTTTCCAAGTCCGTTTTGGCTTGTTGAGAGACGATAAAAGATGATGACATTGTTTTCGACGACAAAGGCGAGGTGTTCAACCTGAGGTCCTAGAGCATTAGCGCATCAAAGGATCATGTCTTCGATATATATTCCTTGCCAATGCCATGGATATTTTCCCCCAGAGTTGGTAGTCTGACCAGCTGTTTCCTTTTTGTTATTCTATTCTAGTTACGTATCTCTATAGCAATATATATGACTAAACATCACAATTACACAAGTCATGGGCATAAGAAAATGGTATATCTTCTGTAATGATTCGTCAGAGGGTTTGTTTGTTCCTTTGGATATAAGTTTTTTTTTCATAATACAGTCTTGAGATACCACCGTATTTGGATATACCAAGAAGCGTTTGACACTTCGAGTACCAAAATAGCACAATAGCCTGCACCCACACCATTTCATGGGCAATATCTTCAATCGATTTAAAAGTTTTATATTGTGAAGACTCTTTTTGAGTATATATTTTGAAGACTCTTATAACCACGTAGAAAATATGCATATTGTAAACTACGGAAAGAAAATAACCGCGTCAGGTATAAAAAAAGACAGCACCTTTCGAATTTTTCCCAGCATCGGCATGGTCCCAAGCACAGTCGATCTTGCGCACTGTCGAGCCATCTGTCGCTTGTGGCATCGCCTTCTAGTCAAGGTCCGCCGAAGTGCTAGCTGCTGTGTGTCCTTGACTAGAAGGGAACGTTATTGCTCCTTTTGGCCGCAAGCGCTATTGGCACTGCATTTCTCCGATCAGTGGCGCGGCCAGGATTGGCTGACACCCCAGGCGAGAAACTTAAGAGCTAAAAACTACGCCTAAAAAACTCAAGGCATACAAAAGTGAATCTATGTGCATAAATAATAAGAAACTAAACATATACTCCCTCCGATACTCCCTCCGTCCCAAAATTCTTGTCTTAGATTTTTATATATCAAGTCACGTTTTAGTATTAGATACATCCATATCTAGACAAATTTAAGACAAGAATTTTGGGACGGAGGGAGTAATATTCAATGGCAACATTTGTTGCATGACGGGTCAACTAATAAAGCAAGACAAATCAAAGGACATTATGTATCATATATATAGATGATACAAAAGATTGATTCAAATGAAAGAATTGGTTGCTCTGAGTCTCCCATTACGGCATCTTCAATAGCAGAAGAAGATAACCCTTCAATGATAAATTTTGAAATTCAAATCCTCAATTAGTATTCTCTTACCATGGTCTATTTCAATATCAACGGAGGCATCTAGAAACAAAAATCATCACCAAACAGTGGCATCCAGATCAGTACCGCAAAGATTTGGAGCTAGCAGCTTAGCTGGATCGGTTGTAGTGACCCATTGTCCTGTTTCTACTACCTCTCTAAATAAACTTGGAAGAATGACTAACATAGGAAGTACTTTGTAGAAGACATGCTCCTCTTTGATAAAATCGAACCCATTCAAATTATTCAAAATTGGACTACGCTGCCATATTCCATCTTTATCTAACAGTGCATTACAGTAAACGATTATCAACATTTTTACAGAAACTGCAAGCTATATAACTAAATTTATGCAGAAACTGCTGCATATACATGACCTATGAGGGTACTACGCCACCAGATTATTAACAGCCTGCTAATTACTTGTTTCCAGCTCACTAGTAATACATTCTACTCCTGGAAGAGCTACCTTTGCTCTGGAAGAGAAAATTGGGATTTGGGAAGAGCTACCTTTGCTGTGCTGTCTGCTAGGCCGATGGGGTGGGTTGTGCTTGCACAACTCCCGGTAAACAACGGCCGCCTTGCCGGACGCCGGGCAGCCTGCCGCCTCGCTGGACAGGGCAGCAGCCCGCAGCGGCGC